CCCTCCCTCTTTTTTTGGGGGGGGCAGCAACGCCCATGCCTCCTGCAGTTACCGACGCACCTGTCCGAGGCTCAAACAGGCACCGAGGAGCCAAGTTCCTAAAGCAACGCGACAAAATCATCAATGTCAACCGTCACCTGAGCCTTGTCAGGATACAAGCCCTTCTTGAGCTTGCGCAAGTTGCGCATTGACGTGACTGTGGGCTGGCCACACTGCTTGCCGAGCTTAAAATTTGCGAGCCGCTACTGTAAAACTTGCACGACAAGCAAACAAACAAATTCGAACGATCTGAGCAGGGGAAGGCAACGACCTTATGCCCCAGCCTCAGCAGCACGCCTTGGTCCAACCTGGAGTGTCCAGGACAGTCCCCAGGAGGAGGGGCTCGCGCCCGAGAGCCCTTAAGGCAAACTCGGCACTGCCAGAAGGACCCAACCTGCGCCCACGAGTGCCCAACATCCAGGGAAGGGTGACGAGGAGCGGGAGGGGGCCTGGACCTGGCGGTGCCTCGAAACTCAAGACGCGGCCACAATGGAAGCAGAACAGACCCAGTTTTTAAGACCAGCCGCGCTATCGTGATCTTCCTATCGAGCTCATCAGCCTCAACAGGAGTCAAGGAGGGGTGCAGCCGTGCCGCCTCTTTGGCGGCCTGGTCAGCAAAATGATTGCCGAGTCTTCTGAAACGTTCATTGGCCGAAATGCCGTTTTCATCGACATCCCTGTGGGCCGAAACTTTGTGGAGGGCACACAGGTTCCTACCAAAATGGTGCTTGCCTTGCAGCACAAGACCTGTGTACTGCCTCTTGCCACAGAGCGCGTCAGCACCGAGCGCTACGTGGTCCACAACATTCTGACAGTCACTGTAGCACACGGAGGGAGCATCGGCATAGGCACCACAGAACGCAAACGCGGCATACTTGGCAGCTTGGGGAGTCTGAGGCCAGGGGGGCCACACAGGCCCCTTCAGGACTCCTAGGAACTCGCCATCTCCCTCCCTCCCTCCCTCCCTCCCTCCCTCCCTCCCTCCTCCCTCCCCCCCTCCCTCCCTCCTCCTCCTCCTCCTCCTCCTCCTCCCTCTCCTCCTCCTCCTCCTCCCCTCCTCCTCCTCCTCCTCCTCCTCCTCTCCTCCTCCTCCTCCTCTCCTCCTCCTCCTCTCCTCCTCCTCTTCCTCCTCCTCCTCCTCCTCCTCCTCCTCCTCCCTGCCTCCTCTTCCTCCTCCTCCTCCTCCTCCTCCTCCTCCTCCTCCCTCCTCCTCCTCCTCCCTCCTCCTCCTCCTCCTCCGCCTCCTCCTCCTCCTCCTCTCCTCCTCCTCCTCCTCCTTCCTCCTCCCCTTTCGCCTCCTCCACCCATCCTCCCTCCCTCCTTCCCCTTCTCTGCAGCAGAATGTTCTCCCGAATGGCACAGTGCCAATCGCTTGCTACTCTGATCACTGCAGCCACGCACCATGCTACATCTCCCCTCGAAATCAAGCGCAAGTGTTTCCCGCGACGCGGCGGCGCCCCAGGACCCCAAAAATCACCATGCTCGCGACTGCAGACACAGAAAGCTGAACCCGTGGGCCGCGTTTCGGTCGTCGACCAACATCAAACATTTACGTTAGATTTCGAGGAGGGCTGTAGGGGGGACGCGAGCTGGCGAAATCTAAGCGCGCAAGCCAATGCTGGGGGGGCTGTGGGCCCGCACCGAAGGTCACTCCACCAAAGGATTACGTGCCCCAACATCTTCCGATGTGACTTCTTGTCAACCCGCGGCCCCTGGGAGATTCTGACAACTTCCGCGGGCGTAGTTTTTCGCCCTGGGTCCATTTTTGATGGCCCCAAAGCCCGACAACGGGTCCTGGTGGCCGAAATCAAGGAAAAGAGCTGGCTCCTCCTCCTCCTCCTCCTCCTCCTCCGAAGCGAGGCGTCACGGCCGCCGCCCTTCCGAACAACCGAACCATCCTCAACGCACTCCTCGTCATCCCTCCTGCTTCCGCTCCTTTGCTAGAGCGATGGCATATACAACTCGCTCTTGGGCTTGCACGGCCTGCTCACGAGCTGTCGTTTCACGGCTGTCTGCTGTCCGGTTATCGCTTCTATATGTGCTGGTGGGGGTAAATTTTGGTCAGCGGCTCCAAGGCAATGGACAGGGAGCGGAAGCGGCGTCCGGGTCACGGTACGGGGCTAATTGCAAGACAATTCGTCGCCAGCCAGAGTCGGCGGACAGACAGCTCGCATCTGCACATGCACTGAACAAAATGAACAGAAAATGGAATCGGACGTAACACTCGGGTTCGGGGGACTCGGGTTGGCCAGACGGGACTGTCAAGAGAATGAAGAGACCCAGATTGAAATTTGACGCGAGCTCCAGCTGCAAACAACCCACGAAAACTGGGCCGCCAAGATTCAGAGACGGGCCCGCCAAACAATGTCGGCAAGCCCGACCTCCGGCGAACTCGAGTCCTACGCTTCCCGATCAGAGGCCTCCTAGATGGGGTCCGAGTAGATGGGGTCGAAGGATCTCGCCGCATCGCCGATACGTCGGCAATGCATCGCCGATGCATCGGCGATGCATCGGCCATGCACTGGCGACGTCGGCAATGCATCGGCGACGTCGGCGAGGAGAAAATTGGGCCCCACATCTAGCCGCATGGCCGATGCATCGGCGATGCGGCGCGATCCTCCGACCCCATCTACTCCGACCCCATCTAGGAGGCCTAGACTTCGGTCGGGCATGCCCTCCTACAGGCGGATTCTGGACGAAAATTAAATTGAATTACCCAAGAACTCCCCAACATGATTTTAGAACATAGACCTAAAAAAATCGTCCCCGGACTATTGTCTGACCATTCGTGAATCTTCCTCCTGTAGAGGGACATGCCCGACTCAAGCCTAGACCGGTGCAAGTCTGGGGCAGCCGACGGGCGGGGCCCCCCCCGCCTGCAATGCCACCGTGCAGGGGGTAGGCCGCTCCAGCTTGGAGCGGCGGGCGGGGAGCGCGGCGCGTCTGCGCAACACCAAAACATTGTATGCACTTCTCGATTTGTGCGTGTCATCCCTGCGCAGGGGCCATGCCAATCTTCTCTGTATCGTTCCAATTTTAATGGATGATCCCCGGCGCGGGCAGAGCCCCTCGGCCATGCCCACCTGGCGCCCGGACCCGCCGCCGCCGCCCAGCTCGTGGTGCCACAGCATCCCCGGCAGCTCCGGCGCGGGCGCGGCCGGCGCGGGCGGCGCCGTCACCGGCTGCGCCGCCGGCACGACGCCCGTCGCCTGGGGCCGACGGAGCCGCCGCGGTGGTCGCCGCCGCCGCCGCCCGCAGCGTGAGTCGTCGCCGTGGTCGTGGCCGTCGATGTCGCAGTCAGCGGTCCGTGGTCGTGGCCGTCGTGGTCGTCGTCGTGGCCGTCGTCGTGGTCGACGACGTCGAGGTTGCCATGGCCGGCATCGCCGCCGCCGCCGTCGCAGGCGCCTGCGCCGCCGTCCCACGACATCGGGGCCTCTCGAGCCCCAGCCATGCCGAAAAGAAAAGAAGAGGGAGAGGATGAACGCAACGACCACTGCCTGCCCCGAACCGACAGGCCGCCTCTGCGACCACACAGGTCCAGGATGGACGAGGCACAGACAGAACTCGCACGCAAGACAGCTCGCACAGAGCCAAACCCTGTCGCACCAAACTCTTAGTCTGATAGGACGAAGGAAAATCGGCACCACCACCACCAGCGCGAGGAAGCAGGAGTGGCCCTCCTGGTGGTGGTGGTCCCCGCTCCCCGCTCGAGACATCCCCTGCTCGCAGCTCGAGGAGGCATCGTGGACCTCCTCGCTGGAAGCGGCACCCCTGGTGGCGGTGGTATCGCTTCTCACTCCTCCGACTCCAAGATCTAATATCGGGGGCGCGCAACGATCCATGGGTTAGGCGACCGCGCGCCAAATCCACGGATCGCCTCGTTCGGCGGCGGAAATCCGCGACTTCCCATGGAAACGGGACCCGTCGCTAATCCACGCCCCCTTGATCCATGTTTGCGCCTGGTAATCTCCGCCACCGTGCCCCGGGGCGCCGAGGATGGCGACAGAGCCAAGCACGCCACGAGGCATCAAAGGGTCGGAGGGATCGCAGGCTCGAGGGGTCGGAGGGATCGAAGGCGCCGATGACGGCGCCAGAGCCAAGGCGCCATGGGGCATCGAAGGGTCGGGCAGGCTCGAGGGGTCGGAGGGATCGAAGGCACCGAGGATGGCGCCAGAGCCAAGGCGCCACGGGGCACATCGAAGTGTCGAGGATCGAAGGCCTGAGAGTCGGAGGGATCGATCCTCCTCCTCCTCCTCCTCCTCCTCCTCCTCCTCCTCGTCCTCGTCCTCGTCCTCGTCATCCTCCTCCTCCACCTCCTCCTCCTCCTCCTCCTCCTCGTGCTCATCATCCTCCTCAACCTCCTCCTCATCATCATCATCCCCCTCCTCCTCCTCCTCCTCCTCCTCCTCCTCCTCCTCCTCCTCCTCCGCCTCCGCCTCATCCTCCTCCTCCATT